GGAAGTTGGAGCTTTGGAGTGGGAGCCGATATCCTCCTAGTCTAGCCACAAATTTAGGGACTAAACCTAGGATAAACCAAGGATTAACCAACGAATTATACATACATACATACATATATATATATATATATATATATAATGAGTATTATTTTTAAATAATTTATTTCATCAGAATTTCATTGTAGTGGGAAGGATGTTTTTTCACATAAGAAACCTTCATTACAAAACAAAGTTAGTAGATTAGTAGTTATTAATAAAAATTTGCATTTCATTTTTGCTAATAGTTAAGTAATTTAGTTTGGTTAATATCTCAAAATTCCAAATCAGTGACAGTGATTTTGTTTTATTTTCTATAAATTTCCTGATAAAATTTGTCATTGCTAATTTACACCTTCCCCGTAGGATCGATATTTGAGGCTTGAATAGAAAGTCCATTATTACTTGATAACAATACATATACTTGTGTAGAATCTCACTATTAATTACCTATAATTATATATATTTTACACAACTTACTTTTCATACAAGGATCAAGTTTTTGGCGATGTAGTGGTGTCAACTACATAAATCCTTACATTAAAAAATTGGGATGAAGTTTTTGGCACTATATATATATATAATTCGTTGTTTTTGCATCTTATAAAGGCTTAATAATTTCTATGTTTCTTAGCATTTACAACCAATTCACATACCACGGGGAATATAGCAGCATTGGGTTCCACCATAAAATTAACCCACCTCTTATACACAATGGTGTGCTCAAACTCTTGATCGGGATGCAAAAATCTTCTCTTTGGAATAAGCTTTTGATGCAATAGTGATGATTCATATCTTTAACTCTACACTCACAAATCATCGAGCATCATGTGTTTTGGCACTTTGGTTCTTGACCCTCGATTAGTCATTATTATGTATAATAGATAAAAAATTAACTTATTAGATGATTATATTGTGTGACCATGAGTCATAATATGGAACATATTTATTTTAGAATGAATATTAAAGATTGCATGGTATGATTATGATTCATTGATGCACCCATATATAACTTATATGATTGCATTGATCAATCTATGGTTCCGAAGTTGAGCAAGTTGAGCAATGCTATCCATATCATATTGTATGATTTAATAAATTTTTAAATTTTGAGCACATATAATTTTATAATTTGATTTAATTTATTTTTTATGAAAATCATAACACATTTAAATTGAAGTAGCACTTTAAATTTAATTCATAATTAGTTCTTTTTGAGTTTACTGTTTACTTCTAGTCGGCAAAGGTTGGACGGAGAAAAGGAACTCAAGCTAGAGGGAGGTAAAATGTCGAGTCCTTGCTAACATAAAGGAGAAGAAGATTGAGATTCTAGGAAAAAAATGTCACTGACAGGGTGAGTGTGGTTAAGATTATATTAGTAAATAGAGAAAAACAAGCACCAATTGACTTTCCATTATACAAACATTTTTTATGGAATAAATTTTATTCCAAATCATTCACTAATACACATGATTTTCCTCCATGTTGCCAATTATTATGAAGGGCCATTTATCTAATGCAAATCCATGATAAAAATTTTTATGTGTCATAACTCTATTGCAAACTTGCAATTAAATTTTGTGACAAACAACTATCCATTTTAATGAAGGCTTCGTGATGAATGATCACCAACTTTATGAAAAAAAAAGGTTTTTTCATCATAAATTTATCATGAATTTATTATTTGTGATAGTGATTTTATCCATTGTGATAAGGTTTTGTTGTTTTCACGTCTTTTTATCGATTTTCAATGTTATGGCCCGAAGATCGCCCTTGGGGTAAATCACGCTCAAGTCTTGAGAAAAAAGAAGACAAAAGAGTAAAAATGGCATCAAGAAAAGAGGCAATCTCTACCAGCAAGAATAAGGAGCAAGTCAATTGAGAAAAACAAAATGTAATTTTGAAAGCAATCCTTGAACCAAATAAACAATTTGAGGATTTACCTCAAAATGAGTAGAAAATGGGATTAACTAGATGGTAGGATTTATCTATGTCAAGAATATTATACAGAAAACTTTAGCCTAAATCTTGTAGCCAAACAACCCTTAATCTTATTACTTATCATTACATCACAATATTTAGCCAAGATTGTTTAGAAGGTTTTAATGCAATGGAGCAATATAGGCATAAGTTATAATGTTTATTTTTTTGAAGATTGTAAGTCAAAAGAAGATATATTTCAAAAGTAATTTTTTTAATTAAGAGAATAACGGTGGTTGATTTTTAAACCTTATGTTAAAAAAACTTTAAGAACTTCTTTAGAAAAAAGCTACAATTTACGAGGAATGGCTTGTTTATAAAAATTCATTAGAGGTGGTCTATCCATACTCATAAATAGCTCAAGGGAATGCTAAAAAATGTTGGAACATTTTTGTGGTAAACAAATAAAACATCCTATAATATAACCTATAAATTATTGAACCCAAAAGTGTCCGTGGAATCAGACCCAAGGAATAGAACGTGTGAGGTGGAGAGAAGGAATAGAACGTGTGAGGTGGAGAGAAGGTGGAAAGCAATGAGGAGGAGAACAATAGAAGATAAAGTTTTTCTCATAAAATGGTCTACTATAGTGTATGAGACACTTGAAATACATAATTACATATAAATTCTCTTCATATACAATGAAGTTTAGGGGTATTAAGGTCAAAAAATATATTTACAGCAACAACATCCTAAACTGCACTAATCTCAAAGAAAAATGCAAATATGTGGCAAAATAAAGTGGGACCCACGATCAAATCATATAGAGATTAGTCAAATATTGATTTAATTTATCAGAGTAAAAGCTAATGTCAAGTCAAGGAAGGTATCCTAAAGCTCTAACTAGTCATTCCCTTTGGTCAGTGAGTCGACCGACATGCATAGCCAAACAAAGGACAACTCCACATCAGGTCAAGCAAAGGACGACTCTACATCTAGCCAAACGAACCGGAAGGAGGAAGCAAATCCACGGATGGTTTTAATCAAGAGGTTTATAAGTTACCCCCCTATGGGTCGGCCCGCCATCACTGAACGAGCGAACATGAACCAAGGATAAGGAGTCATCATGACCGACAAATACAGTAAAATCAAGATTGATGATGTAATCAAGGGAAGCATGATTGCGTTATTATTTTCTTGCCTCTCAAAAACATTTGTAGGGTGTTAGAGATAGATAACTTAATATATGCTAAATTTGACATTGCTTTAAAGTCATTTTAAATTGATTCGGCCCATTCAAAACAGCTTAATTTCTAACAATACTATGAATTTAAAATTATTTTCAAGTTGATTTTGAGGCTGACCTGACTCACTAATAAAATTATTGTTCACATGAAGTATGGTTAAAAAACATTAATCTCCCATCAAGCCGAGATGCACAATGCTCTGTATATCATTCAACTTTTCTTTCAATATATATATATATATATATATATATATTTCAGTAGCCCATCAATCTCTTTTCAAGTTAAGTCTTTAAGCTTTAAGCTTTTCATAAATTTTTTATTAGGAATCATCGTGCTATAAAGCACCTGATAATTGTTCATTAATTCTTATCCAATAATAATATATATATATATATATATATATAATAAATCAAATCAAACGTGGTATCATGGAACCATTCATAAAAGCAAAGGAAAAGAATTTCATGCAAGCCACCATAGCTTATTGGTAGAGAGCCCTGGCTTTCAAGAAAGAAATTCTTGGTTAAAGACCTTAAATATGTTATGTGAATGTATTTACCATTAATTTTACTCAAATATAAAAAAAAAAAAAAAAATCACCAAGCATACGAGTCATTTGTTCTGAAATAAAATTGCCATTTTATGCCATCAAAATATTTAGATGCTTAATGCAACCTTCTTCTACCTACAAATTTGTTATAATTATGGAAGGGACATTATCTTTGCTGAGTTGACTCAATGCCGTTAAACTATTGCATATTAATTTCTATACAATATATAAAAAGTAATTGAGGAAAGAAGTGTAAGATTTTTTAAAATAAGAGATTACCATCTATTGACAATTGTTATGTGCTAGAAAATTTACAATGAAAGAGAATTTACCATTAAATTTGCATAAAAATCTCACATGTACGGCTAAGAGAAATTCGCAAGAGATAATAAAAATTTAATGTATAAAATCTAGAGAAAAAACTCATGACCTAGCCCAAACTAACAAAACTAACTTGACTTTTTGAGTTGTGGCTCAGAATATAAAAGTAAAGGTTGATAAAGGCGGTTAAATAATGTCAATCAAATGATATTAGTTGGATGATAACGTTTAAACTGTCTCAGTTAGATGATGGCGGCCAAACGATCAATATATTATGATGGTCAATGGCGGATGATGGTAGATGGTCAACAATGATTATAGAATGGCAGGTCAATGATGATGAGAAAATAATAGAAGGGTGAAAACATATGGGAAAACAATTGTTGGTGATGATCATCAATTTTAAACATCAAACGGACCTCTTTTCAATTCAAATCCATGGTCTCTTTGATGTAAAAATTAAAGTTCTATTTTTAATCTTTGACAAGGGCATTTTGATAAATCAAATTAAAGTCATAATACACGTCATTAGTCGATCGATATCATAAATTATTTTTTTAATATTTAACAACATTAACAACATTATAATTAAGCCTTTTTAGACTAGTTAGACTCCTCTTTTCAAGATGCTTATTTTGACTATAAACATATAAAAATAAGAGATCATTTAATCATTTAATTAATATCATGAAATTATTAACCATACTCAATTTGCACTTATTTGAAGTTGAATTGGATCACATTTGGTATCATTAACATTCTAATCAATCATAAATTTGTCAAAATTGGAGTTCACATGATCCAAACATAAAGTCTTAATATTTTTATATTAAGATTCATGCCTGGTCAATGAATTTTCTAATGTATCACTATTATCTTTTTAGGCAATGTAAATGTTTTATTCACTTTCAAGGGGCCGTGGAAACTTAAGAACTTACCTCGCACAAACAGCTTCTCATATTTCTCTATTACAGAAATCCAAAATGATGGCCAGAGCTTTCGCCTGATAACGAACGATGGCAAAAATGACAATGATTGCATAAATGATAAAACCAGCATAAGAAAACATAAAACTATTCACTTCATATAGTTGATAAAAATTAAAACACCTAGCTCAGAATTCTGAGGACAGAAAAACACTAACCCACCGCAAGCTATTTATAACTTCAGTTTACTCAACTGGATCTTCTGAACTGGATATGTATAGGCTTCATAGTTTATTTGCTGACCTAGGGAGCTTAGTTTTGTAAGAGTAGTAATAAGATCCACCTGTCAAACAATACCTAACTTTGATGATTTAGATGAACAAAAGTATATGCACATTTCAAGCGCCACTGAATTATTCTACTTGATTCTAACCTCATAGTCAGTTTGAGAAACAGTTTCTCTGCTGCGCTGGTACTTCTCGACCCAGGGGCGCACTTCTGGATCAGTGACAAGTTTATTCTCTACTGCTGCTTGGTCTGGACCAAGAAATGCAGACAAAACCGCCAACTGGAAATAGGGAACATGAATTTTAAGAAATGAATGAAAATGAAGATTAAAATTTAAAAGATAGAATTTTATTTCATATTTCAGAGCTTCTGTTCATGGTTTCATATCTTTCAATCAGAAAGCCTAGGCAATAGTTGATAGAGGAAATAAATGAATGAATGTATCTACACTAGATGCTTCATGTATTTGAAAAAGGGGCAAGCAAAATGGATACCGTCGCCAACTTCTATTTTATTTTATTAAATTATAATTGCGGAGAAGAGAATAATTTGATATATGAAAAATTAGAAAGATATAGAGAAAGAGAGGATTGAGAAGTTTAGTTGAATGAATGTCTTGATTGAAAGGAGGCAAGAGATAGAAAAGAAGAAAGCATGAAGAAATATTAGAAATAAGGGAGAACAATTCCACCATAGGAATGCCAATGAAACAACAGAAGTTTCTTCCATCTTTAACCATCATAATTTCAAGACTACGAGCCCTATTTATAGAAATAGACCTTATTAAAAGGAACAAAATTTTCTCTTAAGCAAATATGGAGATGCCAAATTAGTCCTGAATAATAATTGCATTTAAACCATTAATACTGAATTTAAAATGATCACATTATTCATTAAAAATGCACTTGTAACTAAAGACTGAAGTATACTTGCAATTTATTTATTTTAATTTTTTAAATTTTTTTTATTTTTTGCAATTTATCAGTTCTCCTATTCTGAAATACTCTACTATAGCGAGTTGAAGTATCACTCAAATGAATTTATGCAAGTTTGCACAGAGATGGGTGATGAGTTTATGGATTTAAGACTTGTTGCAGCAAAAGCAAGTGTGTGGAGATTGATACAAGCTGATGTGAATCGTCACTGGGCGTGAGCAAGCTTTTGGGTGGGGGTTAGCAACATTTACAGCATAAGTGCGAAGCGAAACATGTGAGAGAAAGGTAAGCATGGGGAAGCCCTAGAATGTGATCATGATTTGCAAGGAAAGCTTTATGAATGAAATGTTATAGCAACGTGGGGAGAGGAGAGAATTTTGAGTTGTAGCAGCCATTGGTAGAGACCTTGGACTGGGGTCAATCGCCCCCCTAGACTTTTGTGAAACCCTTTATTATCATATCATACACAAATAAACTGGGGTCAATCGACCCCCTAGACTTTTGCTAAACCCTTTATTATCATATCATACACAAATAATTTTACCGGCTCAGCTTAATAAAAAAATTAATAATTATTATATTTTAATTTAATAAATATTTTATAGTTATTCAAAATTATATTATGCAAATGTAATTTGATTGCTACATCACAGAAGTTAATATAATGTTTTGAATATTAGATTTTGGCATTATTCAAAACATTATCTTACTTTCTAAAAGTTAATATTTTACAAAACATGTGAGATATGGTTACTTGAAGATATATTTTTCTTGTTCAACTTGATCTTCAAGAAAAACAACTTCGGCTATTGATGAAGTTTTAAAGCTCCTTTATTAGATAAGTTTTTATCTAAACTATCTTATATCTTGCAGAGACAAATTACACATTAAAAAGACTTTCTCTACTTTTAAAGCCTCTGCGTAGCAGTAAATGCTTATCTTCCAACATAACACATATCCCGTCATTTGTCCCCTAAAATTTCAATCCTTAGAATGGTATGCTGCTCCCACAATTTAAGATGCACATTCATAATGATTAAATTGAAAGAGTGCTCTTTTTTTACTTACTTTATAAGTTATTCTTAGTGTTTTTTAATTCATCTTATTTATTTATTTATATAATTTAAAAAATTTTAAATTTAAATTTTGATTTATTTTAAATATTTTTTTATTTCATCCCCCTCATAATGTTTTAAAGCTCCTTATATTATATAATTTTTTATTTGATCTATCATGTAGAGACATACTACACATTTCCCTAATTTTTGTGGCTCCACGTAGTCTTAAAAGCATTTCTCCCAAAATACCATCTATCTCCCGTCAGTTCTACCCTTAAATCTCAAAAACAGTATATTACTCCCATAATTTGAAATATGCATTCATAATGATTAGATTAAATTAGGTATTTTATTTTACTTTATATGTTTTTCTTAGTTTTTTTTCATTTCATCTTAGTTAATTATTTATTTTATAAAAAAAAAGTTAAAGTTTAATTTTTATTTATTTGGTTGATTTTTTATTTTTCCCCACCCCACCCCACCCCACCCAACCTCACATTTAGTTAAATTCTGGAATGAATGAGCAACGTTAATAAGCCAGTGAGGTTACAATTGAGCACAAGATGCAAGTACAAGTATAATTCATTCCAAGTGAATGCAAAGAAAATGAGGGCAGGATATGCAATAATGGATGATTGATGTAGGAGAGTAAGGGATGAGCAAGCACGAGCACTAGGCATAGTTCAATGACTTCACCAATCATGGGCTAGCCATTTTAAAATTTCCTTAGCAGCTAGAAAAATACAACATTAATGATCTTCAGAAACACTCTGAGTTGTTAATCTAGCAATTGGTGCTTCAGCCATTCAACAACATACTTGATCGGAGCCTCCTTTAATGAAACTTCTTTGATTGAGGTAGAGTGTAACTCCATCTTCGAGTTTTGTAAATCTCCAGCTGTTGAATTCATATGGAGAAGTTGAAGGCTAGCTCATGGAAAGGGAAGTGGAAATATTCACGAAGAAAACTCGAATTTTTCTTAGTTAAAGACACCTTAGCCTTAAAAGAAGGAATGTGGGAGGTGGGGAGGAAGAATCTATGATGTAATGATAGAAGGGAGAATAAATCCCCAAAGAGAACGATAAAACAAAAAATTTCATTGTTTTAAATTTGATTACAATTATAAGATTATGGGCACTATTTATAGAGATATATCTTAGTGAAAATGATAAAATTATACCTTAACTTACAAAATGCAAAACTAATAATAATTAATATATGAAAATAAGAAAAATCACGTGGTTTATTAAAATAAACCCCTTACAAAAGATTGAGATAGACAAACATCAAAAAGGGCATAAAGTGTACCTGTCGTGGTCCAAAGCCAATGCTAGATAATTTATTTTTCATTTCCTGAACAGAGGCTGTGTCCCATTGAAGAATCCTCCCCTCCGGGTCAGGTTCTGGAGAGTCTGTTCGACCAAATTGCCTGTCAAATAAGCCCCACTGTCCATAAGAAGAATAAGTATGTCATCTTCAATGAACCTCACCTTTATATAATAGAGTATCAATGATGATCACATCTATTACTAAATTAAACACTTATCGCTAAATTCAGTGAACTGTTAAACATTTGCTTGCAAAGTTAGCTTTCTAGCACTTGGTTCGAAGCTAGTTCAACAAAGAGACAAATATTCCTCGCCAAATTTTCCTGCACTAATTTCAAGAAAATGCAGCCTAAATAACTGCATTCATTTGGCACGCATTTACTTCATATTATCTTCCAATACAATATTAAGCAGACGCACAATGTAAATAGAAGCCATAACCAGGATGACTGTCATTTCCATCAACAATATGCCAAATACAGAAAAAAAGGGGTAATTCGATTGTAAAAGTCAAAAAAGGTTTATGGGTGACCGTTACCATGAAGCTCCAATAAAATGAAAGTGTCAGCTAAAGCGTCCAACTATGCTCTTGAATTTCCTCAGAGAAATTGATTATAAGTGTAAGAATCGAAACATTTTGTTTTCATCTCCGCTAATCCTGCATTTAACCCGCAAAAACACCTACCATTGAATCCCACCTCACTCTCTTCCTCCCATATCGCATGAATCAAACGATTTCTTCCTTTCATTCTAGCTCCACAGCCTTCCTAAATCGCACAACATACCTTCTCCTTTGTGTGAACCAACTTCCTGATTTGGGCTTCTCCCACACTTGCTACCAAACCGCCTCTCTTCCTTATTTATTAATGCCGAAAAGCTAGGGCATCGCCCTTGTCTCGCTCAACCACTCCTAGAATTGTTTATACCCCTCGAGCAAAAACTCATCCTCCTTCATCTAAACTAGCTAGAGGCCCTTTCTTCTCCTTCGCTTTGTAGCAACCGTCGAGCCCTTGCCATAGTATTGTTCCTTTCCTCTTCTTTATTGTCAGTTCATTTTTTAAAATTATTAATTGGGTTTGATAAATTAAATTTTATAGATTAATAATAATAATAATAAATAATCTGTTATTATAACTACTTACATTTTGAGTGCATGAATTTCAAGCCATCTGAGCCGATGGATTGGAAGTTTCGTATTAACCGACTCAAGATAAGTAATTGTGATTTATTAGAGAATAAACGTATCATTTATTGTTATGAGCGTTATTTTTATTGTTTGTATTAGATACTTCACTACTTTGTAAGATTATCAGTTCTGCGCTTTTACTTTATATGTATATTTCTTTTTGTACTCGTTTTAGACTCCATTTAATGCACATAACATAGTAAATAACCGTATTATTTTTTTGCTGCATAAATTCTTACAAATTTTAGTAAATCCTATAATTATCATATTTTTTATCTTACACTTTACTTTTATGAATTGTATGTAAGTTTCTGTCATATCACAAGCTTGTGTGAAGTAGTATACTACTACACATTTACTTGTAGAAAAAAATTGCAATTTTATATGCTTGTATGACTACTATAGAGAAACTTTTTTGGATATTAGCTAGCCGGATTGACAGACCACAGTGACTACTGTAGAGAAAATTGTTGGGTTTCTTTAAGTTGATGTTTATCTTCCCATTTTCAGGGTGTGATAAAACCAACTCTATAAATAATTAAATAATAATGACTATTAGGTGATACAATGGTAATTGTTAGTGATTGCAAATTCTTTTAAATAGATTGATTATACTCATATTATACTGATTTTGAATTATACAATATTTTTTCTTGATAGAGTTATATATCATATTGGCCCGAGTTCCTTCTCGTTTATGCCTTAATAAATAGTGATTATTTATTGAGATAGATTTGTCAAATTCATCCATTGATATTTTTATATAACAAGTTCTACTCAACGACATGTAGAACCATCTCTACGCTTCTTTTTGGTATTTATAATATTTATTTTAGTTAATATATTTCCTCTTTCGAGTAAATAGTTATTTTTCTATTGACATTTCAGTTTTATTTCAAACATTTTCTTATTTTCCTTCATTTGTATCAATGAAAATCTCATTTATGGAATAAAAGTTATCTCTCATTTATTTTCACTATTATTTATATTGTTTTTTTTCTTTTGAGAATACAAAATATGTTCAATTCATTTTATCATGCCATACGATGTTAGGGTGTAATGTCTTCTGAGCTTATGACATGACAGTGTAGTATCAGAGCTTGCATTTTTTATTCAATATTGTTATTTTTGTATTCAAGGCCCCTGTGTTTTATATTCAATACCTCTTACTTTTAAATTCAAGATACCCATGTTTTATATTGAACATTCCTTATCTTTTGTATTTAATATATATCTCTTATCTTCTTAGAATTTGTGACAGTCTATGTTATTCTAATATCAATTAGATAGTTATTCAGTCGATTTTAATTTCATGTAAATTTTAATTAGTTAGACTCGCTCTAAAGAGATGATGTGTTGCAACCACTTGGACAACAGTCAAGAGAGTTACTATAGAAGCGGTACCTATCCCTAAGGTTCTCTCTCCCCTAGTCATCATTGTGATCATCATGGTCAACCCATCAAAAATATTAGAGCACCCATTCTTTACATTACTCTCGCAAGGATAGTGACACAAAATGTCACCCGAGCTTTACAAGCCAATTTTACAGCCCAAATTGCACTGACAGTTCAAGTTATCCAACAAAGTTGAACAACCAGCACCACAGGCAGCTTAACCTATATCACCAGTTACTTTTTGTTAATGTGTGTGGAGCCTAATAGCACAGCACAACTGCAGCAACAGCACCTAGAGCATTCCAATGCCCCATAGAAGCTCCCCAACGCTTAAGAGTGGCACCTTGGTGCCAATAAAGGTGGCCAAGCGCCAAGGGAACTGAGCATTTGAAAATGCAGCGCCCTGAATAGGCGTAGCTGCACCGTGGGATGGTTGTTTCCAGGTTCGAAAATAGAGCATTCAGAACTCAGCGCTCTTGACAGGCAATCCGACACCTAAAATAACAAATTAAGACAGAGCACATGGAGAGGTAGCACCCAAGAGTGGTGCTTCAGTGCCAGGAGCAATTTCTCTTCATATCAAGATTCAAGTCCTCAACTTATATACGAGGAATGTATCTCTTAGCAGTGTGCATAACAAGAGCGGGATGGAGCGAGTGGTACAGTGAATTCAGTGTTGGATTTGTGGTTTTCTCTTGTGCAATCGAGAGAGAAAAAACGTTTGTGAGTTCCAAGCTTGTAGAGAGAAACTCTAAGTGTGGTGTATCGATACATTTCTCCTCATTCCACATTAGAATTTGCGGTTTGGTGTGGTTCCATGATTTTTTTTCCCATTCTCAAGTTTTTTTACATTAATTCTTGTGTTTCTATGGATATCATGTGTTATGTGCTTCTGTTTAATTTTTGTTATGAATTTCTCAAATCGGTGTGTTTTTTTTTTGCAGTGTGATTTGGTTGTGAATCGGTCAAATTTGGTTTCTCGTCCCAACAAGTGGTAGCAAAGCGAGATTTTCTGAAGATATTTTATTCGAGTGTGAGTAATCGTCGATGAACCGAGGTACAAGGTAGAGAAGTTCAACGGTTCAAACCTTGAACATTTGTTCGAACAAAAGAACTGAATGACATTAGAAGGAATCACCAAAAACCTAAATTTATGATTTTGGAAGAATAGGAAGTGTTTGTTTGATCGAACAATATTAAGTTTGATTCGTCTCACTTTCGTCAACTGTTACTTTCAATATTGTTAATGAGAAAACTAGAATGGATTCATGGCGACACTAACAAGAATGCACGAGAGCTTTAAATAAGATTTTTTGGATGAAGAAATTATTCAACATGAAAATGGTGAAAGGGAGTTCAGTGACGGAACATTTGAATAATTTTAACATTGACAAATCAATTGTGTTCTTTGGACATCAAGTTTGGTGACGAGGTCAGAGCACTATTAATTCCATCTTTATTGTCATACAATTGAGATCAACTAGTTACAATGGTAACTCTTCATGTAGTAGGAAGTTAAACTTTGATGATTTCGCGAGGTTAGTGCTAAATGGAGAAGTTCAAAAAAAGATGCGCCATGAAAGTTTAAATTTTGCATTGAATGTTGAAAATAGGGGAAGGAATCATGATAAGAATGGAAGCAGAGAAAGATTCAAGTCCAAGAGAATTAAAATCATTAATAGTAGATTACCGTAATCTCTTCATAAATATCTACACATGCAAAATCCAAGGTAACTACCTAGTTTTATCTCTAGACAATTAAATCATTAATAATAGATTACGGTGTTTTTTTATGCTTGCCCTAACAAAATGGTGTTTAAAAACTACACTCGGAGTAATGCAGAGGTGTATTTGATAGGAAAGAGTGATGTTAATATCAAGTCGTCAAATTGAATAATTTGGAAGTTTAGTGAAGTAGGACATGCTCCAAGTTTAAAAAAAAAAACTGATCTTGGTGAGTCAGTTTGCAAGGTCAGGGTATGTGACTACTTTTAATGATGATTAGTGGAAGTTGGCCACGGGGCAATGGTGATAACTTGGGGTAACATTGAAGACAATCTTTACCTGATCAATGAAATGACAAAATACATTGAGGTGATTGGTTGGAACAAAGGTTGATGTAGACCTTTGCACTGCAGGCCTGGCCATATGAGCGAAAAAGGTATGGAGTCACTATTTTCTAAAAACAACCTTCAACAACATTTAAAACATATATCTAAATTTTTTTGAAGAATGTGTGTATGACAAGTAAAAGAAAGTTTCTTAAAAAGTAAGGTCGATGAAGAAGTCTAAGAAGTTGGAGTTAGTGTATGCTGATATATGAGGTACTACTCCAATCCATTGAAGGTTTCTATTATTTTGTCACTTTTATAGATGATCACACTAGAAATGAAAGAGTTTACTTTTTAAAGCATAAATCTGATGTATTTAAGGTGTTTAAGAAGTGGAAGGTAATGATAAAATGAGATAAATTTGAGTTTGAAGTGTCCTAGATTAGATAATGATGACGAATATCGTGATCAGATGTTCATGATTTT